CGTTGCTACCTGCTTGGCCCAACTACGAAAATAGTTTCCGGGTCCCCTGACATGAAGGCTTTTTATAGTTCAGCACCGCAGGCCTCATTTAAATCTATTAGCTCATATAAATGGCAGCGCGTGTAAACTTCGGGGGGTTTGCGGGTGCCTCGGTGGCCCCCGTGATCTGGCTTTGCGTGCAGCTCTGCCGTGCGCCCGTGACCTGGGGCCAGTCCCCGCGCCTCCTGGAGCCTCGTTCCCATATCAGTCCGTGGAGACGAGCATTCCGCCCTCCTGGGCTGTGTTGAAACCAATTCAAGCAAAATGCTTAGAGCGGGGCCTGGCCGGCAGCGGGGAGCCGCCCGGGGGTGGGGCTGTTCTACTTCTCCTCCGGTTTCGGAGGGTCCTGCCCCACACGCCGGAGCCGGCCCCGTTAGGCTGGCGATGGGCACCCTCCCTCGTGCCCTCCGTGGTGAGGCTGAAGAGTGGGGTTCAGTGAGGCTGTCAGAAGGAGAGGAGGGGCCCTCCATGCCAGGGTCTGCAGGCACAGAGGTGTCCGCGGGGACTCAGGGACAGCTGGGCGGCACGGGCCGAGCCTGCCCCTCCTCTCGGGTCAGCTCAGCCCTGGCAGGGGGCCCACAGAGCCGCAGGCCTTCATCTGCCGAGGCCTGAGGCGGGAAACGCCGGCCGGCAGCCCTGACACTGTGGGAGTCTGTGGTTGGCAGTCTGTCTCACACGCCCAACCGTGTCTGCCCACTGCCCTCCACGGGGCCCGGGCCAGCGGAGGAAGACGGGTCTCAGCGGAAGAGACAGGGGTCGGGTGTGTGGGCCACCTTCCCACCCCCAGGACACCCAGGACAGAGGGTGGTCGAGCCAGGCTAAGGCCGTGTGTCTCTGCCTCGACGAAGCGACGCTTGATTCCTGGGAGCGGGACCCCCGAAACAGCTCCTGGCATCCAAACCCACCCCAGTACCCCTACCATCGAAAGGCCCAGCGAGACTGAACTCGCACCTGACCTGGGACTGTCAGAGCTCGGAGCCCACGTCCTGAGTGTCTGCCCACGACCCGGAGTCTTAGGGCCGTGGAAGCCTGTGGACAAGGCCCTCCTCCCGACGGCGCTTACACGCTTGCCGACGACTGTCCGCACACTGGCCTGCCACCCGCCCGAGGCTCTTCTGGTCAAACAGGCCTGGGAGCTCCGGGAAGTGAGGCTGGACCCCACCAGCCCGGCACTGTGAGCGCTCAGGGTGTGGGCGTGCATGTGTGTGTGCATGTGTGCAATCATGTGCAAGTGTGTGCACACATATGCATGTGTGCAGGCCTGTGCATGTGTGCGTGTGTGGGCCTTGCTGCCTGCATGCTTAGGAGAACCTGGTGAAGTCTCCTCCACGTCTTCCCCCACCTGCAGCCCTGGCATCTACTGTTTTCCATTCCACATTTCTGCCCGTTTCCGGGACATCGTGGCACAGAGACATCCGGTCAGAGTGTTCTGAGTCCGGCTTCTCTCCCTGGACACCTGCAGCTCTTGCTGCCAACATGCTGTTTGCTCCTGAGCAGCCGCCGGGCGGAGGCCTGGACCTCGCCTCTCCATCCTCCACCCGCGAGGAGACAGGCAGGCGCGGCGAGGAGGGCTCTGTCCTCATTCCCGGCCAGGCTGCGGGCAGCACGTTGGCAGGTCTCCTGGGGGAGCAGCCGGGAGCAGGGCCGCCAGGTGGCGTGTCACCTGCGTGTTTCACAGCAGAGGAAACACAAACTACGCCGCCACGTGGCTGGGCCCCTTGCGCTCCCGCCAGCAAAGTCTGGGCGTCCCAGCCTCGTCCACACCCCGGCCCCACTCCATGTTGTCGCTGTTTGTTTGGTTTTCGTCACGGTGGCTTAACATCATGGTTTTCACCGGCGCGTCCCTAAGGACGAAGGACGTGAGCACCCACCCTCGCAGGTGAAGGGCGGAAGCAGTGGTTCTCAACCTTCCTAATGCCGCGACCCTTTAATACAGTTCCTCATGTTGTGGTGACCCCCAATTTCATTGTTACAAATTGAAGATAATGAAAGCATAGTGATTCATCACAAAAACAAGATGTAATTATATATGTGTTTTCCGATGGTCTTAGGCGACCCCTGTGAAAGGGTCTTTAGACCACCAAGGGGTCGAGACCCACAGGTTGAGAACTGCTGGGCGGAAGGGTTTTGCTCACTTTTTGTGGATCCCCTCCCCGCCACCAGTCATGATTTTTGTTTTGTATGTTCTGGATACAAATATGTGACTTGCAAATATTTTCGCCCAAGTCTGTGACTTCTCATCACGTCACAGTGTCCTTTCAAAGACGAAACTTCTTAAATGTTGAGGCACGGTGTAAGTCAGACAATACCCCTTCCCTGCGGGGCTTCCCCCTGCAACGGGATAAACCCCAAAGCCTTCGCTGCCCTGCAGACCTGGCCATGACCTGGGCCACCTGCCAGCCCCTTCCTCCAGCCCCCATTCTCTTGTGCTTCAGCCACACGTTGCCTTCTGTCCCAGCAATACACCTCGCTCCCTCTGACCACAGGGCCTTTGCACGGCTCCCTTACACACACTCTCTCCTTTTCGGCACCCAGGCCTTGGTTCAAATGTTACCTCCTCAGAGAGGCTCTGCCTGACCACCTTACCAAGGAGCACCCCCCCTTACCCCAGACTGGGGATCACACCTGCAAACCGGGCACGTGCCCTGACTGGGAATCGAACCAGCGACCTCCTGGTGCATGGGTCGACGCTCAACCACTGAGCCACGCCGGCTGGCTAATCCCACCGTACTGCCTCTCCGTCCACAGCGGTATTTCCAGTCCGACAGGGAGAAGAGCCGCCGTCCCTGCGTCTTCTCAAGACCTCTCTGCCCCGAGTCACTTGCGCCTACAAACAGTAGCTTCCCGGAATCCCCAAGGACCTCGGCGACACGCGGCCAGGCGAG